GCCCTTACTATAACAAAAATGTGCTGCCCACTCCACCCCCCCCCCAACTTCTTACGCCACTGTAAGAGCATAACTGGCATGATCGTAAGCTGAATTCGTAGAAATTGGTTGCAAAGAGAAAAAAAGATGGGTGCTTGGGAGGGGGGAGGGGGGTTGGGGGAGAGGGATATCGTGAAGAAGAAAATATTTTTTTTTACTAACGACAACTTCTATGAAACAATAGTCATACTGCCATCAACATTCAATTTTCCTGTGCAATCCTATTCTAAACGATATTTGGGGAGTTGGCGTCTGGACAATTTCACTTGTAAATATAAAACAAAAAATAACACCTAAAAACAACGTTTGCCTTATGAACACCTGCACGGCACATTGACCTGCACGGCACATTGACCTGCGCGGCACATTGACCTGCACGGCACATTGACCTGCACGGCACATTGACCTACACGGCACATTGACCGTCACGGCACATTGACCTGCACGGCACATTGACCTGCACGGCACATTGACATGCACTCGCGTGCGGCTCAGCTTTGGCTCAGCTTTGGCTCAGCTTTGGCTCAGCTGTTCTTTAGACATCATTGTGTCACATTTCCTCTATCTCCGCCATGGAAAACAGGAAAAACTGGTTTTTGGGGTGGGGGGGGGTGGGGGGGGGGGGAAATTTTGATCGCATGAGTGGTCATCGGCATCGAGTCCATGTGTCCAGTTTCTGCTTGATAGACTGACGGGAGGTGGGGCAATGAGTGCTCCGAAGATTTTGCCGCCACAAAGAAAGGAACACACAAACGAGAGCAAAGTTAATGGAGCGGATTTTAAAAAGACGAGCTTTATATATATAACTGATTAGACCCATTTCATAAACAAGAAGGAAATGACCTACGAGAAATGACCTTTGAATGACCTACTCCATGGGACCTAGGAATGATCTACGACGTGTGAACTTTGGATGACCTACGACATGTGACCTACCAACACAGGGCAGTTCATGACTCCTGCTTGAATGACCCGGAAGCGGTATCTCTTCCCAGGTGAGACGGGAAAGGTGGACGGTGGGATGTAATGCTTGGTCTTGTCAGGCAAAGTGAACGCCTTGGCTCGTCCTCGACCTGAATAAGAATGGGAATACTTAACGATGTGCGTCTGTCTGGTGTGTGTCTGTCTGGTGTGTGTCTGTCTGGTGTGTGTCTGTCTGGTGTGTGTCTGTCTGGAGTGTGTCTTTCTAATATATATGTCTGTCTGGTGCGTGTCTGTCTGATATGTGTCTGTCTGGTGTGTGTCTGTCTGGTATGTGTTGTTCTAATATGGGTCTGTCTCGAATGTGTCCATTCTAGTGTGTGTAAGGTAAGACATTTGTATAGTACCATTGGATGCAGGGTAAGAACGATGTGTCCATCTAGTGTGTGTAAGGTAAGACATTTGTATAGTACCATTGGATGCAGGGTAAGAACGATGTGTCCTGGATGCGGAAAACGAAACACTTGCAAGTAAAAGAACATGACGTAGAGCCACGGTAAACCAGAAATCAAGGCTCTCCTGCGAGAAGCGAAACCAAGACTCACATTCCACGATGAACCTAGGCTGCCATTCCAGTCTCAACCTAGACTGACATTCCAGTATCAACCTAGGCTGCCATTCCAGTCTCAACCTAGACTGACATTCCAGTATCAACCTAGACTGACATTCCAGTATCAACCTAGGCTGCCATTCCAGTCTCAACCTAGACTGACATTCCAGTATCAACCTAGACTGACATTCCAGTATCAACCTGGACTGAAATTCCAGTATCAACCTAGGCTGCCATTCCTGTCTCAACCTAGACTTACATTACAGTATCAACCTAGACTGACATTCCAGTATCAACCTGGACTGCTATTGCAAATATCAACCGAGACTGCCATTCCCAGAACAAAATAGACTGAAATTCCATCATCAACCGAGACTGCCATTACCATTGCATACAAGGTGAGGCATATGAACTTTAGCATTGTATGCAGGCTGTAGCGTACGAACTTTACCATTGTAGACAGGGTTACGACACACAAACTTATACATTGCCAGTAGGCCTCACCCTCTGAATTGTATGCAGAATAAAGGCGCCAGGCTGTTACCATTGATTAAAATAGAAACCGGCCCAGCAGGGAACTCCTTGTACTCAAGGTAGTTCAGCAGGAAGGTGGATATCGTCATTTCCTTGAACCAATCTACAAGGACGATCACGTGATCCCGGAGGTCAAAGTCGTAGAGTTCAAAGAGTGGTTCACTTGACAGCGACTGTTTGACGATGAAGGCGCCAAACAAGCCATCGGATCTCTGCAGCCCCAGGTGGCCGTGCCACATGAGGGTGCCCGGATCTTCGGCGCGAAATCTGCGGGAATGGAAAGAAAATGTGTTTAAAGACAATATGGCCGTGACGAGGAACATCATGGCTGTGACGAGGAACAACATGGCCGTGACGAGGAACAACATGGCCGTGACGAGGAACAACATGGCCGTGACGAGGAACAACATGACCGTGACGAGGAACAACATGGCCGTGACGAGGAACAACGTGGTCATGACGAGGAACAACATGGCCGTGACGAGGAACAACATGGCCGTGACGAGGAATAACATGGCCGTGACGAGGAACAACATAGCCGTGACGAGGAACAGCATGGACGTGACGAGGAACAACGTGGTCATGACGAGGAACAGCATGGCCGTGACGAGGAACAACATGGCCGTGACGAGGAATAACATGGATAATACAGGAGCATTTGGAAATGATTGGGAGCCATGTGGATATGACGCATCCACTTGGATATCACAAGGGCCAACATTGGATAATTAACAGAAAATATGAATATTACAAGTGAGAATGTGGATAGGGTGAGGGAGAATGTGACCATGTCAAGATGTCAAGATGTCAAGGAAAAATCTGAATATCAGAAGAAAGAATCTAAATGTAGCAATAAAGTGTATGAATAGGACAGAGTGAGACTATTAATATGACCAATGAGAACATGAAGACGACAAAGATGGACAATGTATAGGACAGGGATGTCATGGAGAACAAGAATATGATAAGACAGTCCATGTATAAGACAGGGTTACCATGGAGAACATAAGAATATGTTAAGACAGACAATGTATAAGACAGGGATACCATGGATAACAAGAATATGATAAGACAGTCCATGTATAAGACAAGGTTACCATGGAGAACATAAGAATATGATAAGACAGACAATGTATAAGACAGGGTTACCGTGGAGAACATAAGAATATGATAAGACAGACCATGTATAAGACAGGGTTACAATGGAGAACAAGAATATGATAAGACAGTCAATTTATAAGATATGGTTAGCATGGAGAACAAGAATATGATAAGACAGTCAATTTATAAGACAGGGTTAGCATGGAGAACATAAGAATATGATAAGACAGTCCATGTATAAGACAGGGTTACCATGGAGAAAAGGATATGATAAGACAGTCAATGTATTTGACAAAAGACACCATGTGTTGTCTCTGTGTTCGTATGTTATGTTTGGTTTAAGCTGATAAAACCCTTCTGATCAAAACCTCCAAACCCTTCTGATCAAACCCTTCTGATCAAACCCTTCTGATCAAATCCTTCTGATCAAATCCTTCTGATCAAACCCTTCTGATCAAACCCTTCTGATCAAACCCTTCTGATCAAATCCTTCTGATCAAATCCTTCTGATCAAACCCTTCTAATCAAAACCTTCTAATCAAAACCTTCTAATCAAACCCTTCTAATTAAACCCTTCTGATCAAATCCTTCTGATCAAACCCTTCTGATCAAATCCTTCTGTTTAAATCTTTCTAATCAAACCCTTCTGATCAAATCCTTCTAATCAAACCCTTCTGATCAAATCCTTCTAATCAAACCCTTCTGATCAAACCCTTCTGATCGAACCCTTCTGATCAAACCCTTCTGATCAAACCCTTCTGATCAAATCCTTCTGATCAAATCCTTCTGATCAAACCCTTCTGATCAAATCCTTCTAATCAAACCCTTCTGATCAAACCCTTCTGATCAAATCCTTCTGATCAAATCCTTCTGATCAAATCCTTCTGATCAAATCCTTCTAATCAAACCCTTCTGATCAAATCCTTCTGATCAAACCCTTCTAATCAAACCCTTCTCATCAAACCCTTCTGATCAAACCCTTCTGATCAAACCCTTCTGATCAAATCCTTCCAATCAAACCCTTCTAATCAAACCCTTCTGATCAAATCCTTCTAATCAAACCCTTCTGATCAAATCCTTCTGATCAAACCCTTCTGATCAAATCCTTCTGATCAAATCCTTCTAATAAAACCCTTCTTATTAAATCCTTCTAATCAAACCCTTCTGATCAAATCCTTCTAATAGAACCCTTCTGATCAAACCCTTCTGATCAAACCCTTCTGATCAAACCCTTCTGATCAAACCCTTCTGATCAAACCCTTCTGATCAAACCCTTCTGATCAAACCCTTCTGATCAAACCCTTCTGATCAAACCCTTCTGATCAAACCCTTCTGATCAAACCCTTCTGATCAAACCCTTCTGATCAAACCCTTCTGATCAAACCCTTCTGATCAAACCCTTCTCATCAAACCCTTCTCATCAAACCCTTCTCATCAAACCCTTCTCATCAAACCCTTCTGATAAAACCCTTCTGATCGAACCCTTCTGATCGAACCCGATCAAACCCATCAAACAAATCCCATTAAATATCAAATACCCTCTTAGAAATCCTTTAGTCCCGTGAAGGATTTCCTAAGAAATGGGCTCTTGGCTCTAATATTAAACGTGAACATATGTTTTAACAAATTCACATGACATTGGAATTGGAGCTATATCCTATTGAATTGGAAGATTCAAATCGCAGCTCTACATACTCTTAAAATTCATTTACTAAAGAAAATTCAACGTCATGGCTGTTTTACCGTAACTCTAAAACAATGTTTAAAATGAAAATGAGGACAACCTGGATTGAACGAACCTGTAAGTAAATTTAGAATACGGTGAAATGGGACACTGTGAGACCAGCGCCGTCCCGTCCATGAAGGGCGTCCCCTTCTGCAATACCCCGTGCCAGTGAATGGTCAGCGGATCAAAAGACTGCTGCTGGTTGATGATCAAGACCTCCACCGTGTCGCCTTCACACACCTGGACATAGTCAAGAACCACCCATCAGGTCACATTGACCCCGACACTATTCTAGTCGTGTGCCGCCCAAGCCCAAAGAAAGCGCATGGCAACAAAAAAAAAATGAAAAATCAACTCAAATCCTTCTAGGACCCATAAAGACATGTCCCACGTGCGGGAGAGCTTTACAGGTGTAGGGGCAGTTGCATGGGCGCCCGCAGGGGGCAGTGCCCCCCACTGCCCCCCCCCGATTGATTAAATAAAAAAATTTTAGACAAAAAAAGACAAAAAATGTATTAAAGTAAAGAGAAAATAAAGAGAACGTAACTAAGCTGATGTCCTGTCCGTTCGTTCACCATACAAATACGCTACAGTAAATTAAAACTCCATTAAAACATTACTAAAATTTTTTTGCCCCCCCCCCTGGAAAGTTAATCGATTCCTCCCCCCCCTGGAAAGTTGTCCCCTTCCCCCCCCCCCCCTAGAAAGTTTTCTGCGGGCGCCCATGTGCAGTTGGTAGGCCATCTGGGTACTCACCGTGTAGTATAGCTTTGGTTAACTTTGCATGCGAAGGATGAACAACAACAACAACAAGAAAGCGAATCAATTTAAATAGGTTTGAATTCTTCCAAACTATGATAGAGATTGACTATTATTTTACGAAAATCTATTTCTTTTAAATGTGATAAAAAAAAAATTAAAATAGCAGCTTACATTAAAGTATGTGTTTAAGTATTAATATTAGAAATTAGAAATACATTAAAAATTACAATTAAAGAAATTGTTAAAGTATTTTATCCGAATGCTTTTTACTATCAAAAAATTATAGTCCAAGTGTTACTATAACTAATTCATAATGACAATGATTGGCAAAAACAAAACATCTGTTGTTCCTTTTTTTTACATTGTTATTAACGGGAAATTAAATTTAAATGTATATTATCCATATGTTAATGTCTTCCATCAATATCAAATTAAAATCTTCGATTGAACTCAAATAAAGACAAATTATGATAAAGCTATAATTTAAACTCACAAAGCAAAAGCATTAAATGTCTTTGAGTTGATGACCGCATGTGACAAAACTGATATTGTATTTTTTTTATTTTAAATTTGTATCTATAAATTTAATAAATAAAATTGATTTCCCTTTAAATTGTTTATACACCCGAACAAATTTTAGCCTAGCGATTTTAACAATTAATCAGTTTTACTTATTTTTCATTCCAAATTGTATAAATTAATTTACATAAGAACGAGTTATGCTGACCGTAAAGCCAAAGAACCGAAAAGAACTAAATACGTTCGGCTTCTTTAAAACGATCGGAGAGACGAATGAATACTGCTTGAGTTTTCTACTGTGTTCTTTTCTTTGTTGTATTTTCATTTCTATTGTTGGCTGATGAAGGCTTTATGCCGAAACGTCCTTGTTTTTTGTCCTGTTACCTTATTTCAAGCTTCCACATACCTCGTTTCACTATTTCATTCTTTTAAAACGATCATAGTTATTTTCTATTATTTTACGGAAATCGAACAAATTTAAATGCGCAAAAAATATTATACATCCGCTTTTATTTTAGTAAACGTTTAAGTATTATTATTGCAAATTACAATACATTGAAAGTAACAACGAAGGAACTATTTTAAGCATATTATATGCGTTTAAAAGTTATGAAATAAAAAATTAAATTTAAAAAAAATATGATCAAAGAATTTCACCGTAATCATATTTATCGGGAAAACCCAAACATCAGTTGCTTTTACTGCATTTTTAGTTCGTTCTTAATATTGCGAAATAACAATTAAAATTAATTTGTTCTTAATAAACACACAGATGACGTCATAGCGCGAATAGCCTATTTTAGCCAAAACTCTTAAGTTTCTTTGATTTAATAACCGCACGTGACAGAACTGATAATGTGTTTTCCCTTTCTTAAAAGTAAAATTAATAAATATAAATGATTACTTTTTAAATTGTTAATAAAGCACACAAACATTTTAGCTTTGTATGTTTAACATTTAGTAAGCTTTTATTTTTTTTGTTCAATTCCAAAAATATATTTTTATTAAATTTATAACGAAATAAAAACGTAACCTTTAAATATACTTCTAATTAGAAAATGCCGTTTAAGTCCATCAGTGCAGCGAAACTCTATGCCAAATAGCATTCACTAATCCACTTATAACTCACCCAAGTATGAACAAACCATATGAAGTGCAAAATTTGTTAGTTTGGGTATGGAAGGGCCTACATCCGGTGGTAGATTGTAATATTTTTATTTAAATCTGTGGAAGGGGGGGAAGGTCAATTTACCCCTGGCAGCACAAGATACGTCTCAAAATAAAGGATTGCATTTGATAAAAAATTAACCTTTTTTGGGTACCTACATATCGTAGGTAGGAAATAAGATGCATACATTTTTACGTGGATGACAATATATTTAACTCCTATGGTATTACATTTTTGAAAAAAAAAGAGATTTTACATTCTCTTTTCACAAATAAAAATATGTTTACCAATTAAGAAAATCAATGGCGTTAACAAAACATGGGTACATTTATATAGATATATATATCAATAAATTGATCGTGGGCCCTTAAGATATAGAAGAAGAAGAAGGTATACCCATGAATATCAAAACCCAATCATTTGACACACTTGAACAATTTAATTTTGAAAAATAGAGATGGGCTTATATTTTATGTTTAAAAAAATGAGAATATATTTATCTGTTCACTGTGCGAAAAGTCAAGTGGGCCCAAGTGGGTCTAAGTGGGTCTTAGTGGGCCTAAGTGGGCCTAAGTGGGCCTAAGTGGGTCTAAGTGGGTCTAAGTGGGCCCAAGTGGGCCCAAGTGGGCCCAAGTGGGCCTAAGTGGGCCTAAGTGGGTGTTTATTTTGATGAGATTAATAATGAGTGTCTTTTTTTTCTTTTTTTTAAGTTTGTTTAAGACGTAAACAAAACGGTTGCGAGATTGATTTATTTATTTAGGCATTTTTATATAGCGCTTGCCATAAAGCTCTAAGCGCTTTACAATTATTAAAAACATGTAAACTAACTAAAATAAAAATGAGACATTAGGATAGTAACTACTATATTCCTCTTTCGATAAAAGAATTCTTTTTTTTACGTTTTTCTGATATTTTTTTTTTTAAGGCAAAATTTTGTTTAAATTTTTGATGAAGATGTCAATAAATAAAATTCCGTTAGGAATTATGATGAGTTTTTGCAATAGAATGAAGAAATTATTGCAAACGACCTACCATAATTATGCAATGACATCGGGTCAACTATTCTAGTTTTTAATAAGAAAAGACCGTTTAAAGTTTAAGCCATTAATTACAACGAAAATTCATAACCAAATATCACTCACTAATTCACTTATTCACTTATCCAAATAAGAAAAAACCGTATGAAGTTGCAATCGTGGTCATTTTAACAGATGTAAAACAATGAATGCAAATAGGTTGCCACAAGATACGCCCATGAATCAAGGAGTGCATATGATAAAAAAAAATTGACCTATTTCGGTATACGCACACCAGGGGAGGGAATATGCCCACAGGGCGTGTCCCTATTTTTTGTTTAAAATGTGGGTTGCAATACCTTTCAATAAAATGATATTACGGTCTTTGAATAGAGGTGTACAATTTTCTTTTGAAGAATTAAAACAATTCTGTTATACCAATTGAAAAAGTATAGTTCAACGGCGTTGATCAACTGTTGGTACATTTTCATAAGTACAGCCTTAACTCAAAGTTAAACAAATATAAAAAGACAATGAAAACGTCATTATTTTACACAAGGGAATGTTTAATCTTAAAAATGGTGCACTATTTTTTTTCAGGTGACAGTTCATGTGCACGTGCACACTTGGGTTAAGATTTTCTTTAAAAATATAAAAAGTATATTTTTGTTTCCATTATGCCAAAAGTAAAGTTCTTGAAAAAGTTAGTGTACATTTTTACGAGACTAATAATATTTATCTTTTGAAAAGCCAGGCTAAAGTTTTGTTATTATTTATTGTATTCTAAAGTAACCCATGGATCAAATTTAATTTAACGTAAAATATACGTTAAATGTTATGTAGATTTTTGTTTGTTGGTTACTTCCACGAAACGTTTTCAAATTGTTTTCAAATATTCTTTGACATAGTTATGTGACATCAACAAAGTTGAACATATCTTTACTAGACAATTGTGTGTCTGAATTGTATTCACTAAGTTTGGTTCAATTTTTTTATTTTTCTTGGCGGGCGGGGGTTAAATTGCGCCCCCCCCCTAAAAAAAAGCGAACGTGTCGGCAGAAAGCCTTCGTCAGCGAACAAAACAACAGAAAAAACGGTATAAAAATAAGAATGTCAATACTACTTACCAGCTAAGTGCTATTTCTTATTTTTATACCGTTTTTTCTGTTGTTTTGTTCGCTGACGAAGGCTTTCTGCCGACACATTCGCTGTTTTGTTGCGTTTATTTTTTCAGGTTTTACCCTACTCTGTTTTACTCATTTTATTTTGTACTGGCCTGATTGCAGTCTCTCCCCTTATTACCCCCTAAAAAAATGCAAAAAAACTCTAATCAAAACTAATTAAATTTCCAAAACGGTGGGCCTGTTCTGTAGTAATAGCACGGCCCACCGATTGGTTTAAAAGAACCAAACTGTTTCGTCCGACCAACTGACCTCTATCATTGGTCCAGGACACTGGCCATTCACGGTGATTATCCCGCGCTTCTCGCCGTCTCCAGGGTTACAGTTCGGGGCCGAGCAATCCGATTGGTTGAAGGGACAGTCCCCGCAGCTATCTGACATGGTGTAGGAGTTCTCGACGAGGAACGTGTACTTACATATCATGTGGACGCCGTCCACACAGGGGCGAACACACTCGTGGTCTTTGAAGTCTGGTGGAGAAGAAAGAGTAAAGGCATTCCAATTTTTAGTTTTTTTTTTCTTTTTTAAAGAACTCTGACCACCGGGGCGCCCCTGGGAGGAGGGGCAGGGTGAAATGGAGAGGCCAGAACACTCGACCCC